ATGAGTGTATGTGTACACCAGCATACCTCTGGAATGCCTGGAGCAATTTCAACCAACACACTGATGACTTACCCTCTGGAGAGAAATACTGTGGGGGTAAGACATCCTTAATACCCCTCAGGGTGTGTGTTCTGTTAAGATACAGCCTGTTGTGCCTTAAATGGCTCCTACTGTACAGCGCTGTGGAGTTGCCATGGTAACGGCTTCACAGTACTCCACAAGGGAGCTCCCTCTGGTAAGGGGGAAAATCCAACATTAGAAATTGTGGTGAAGTTCATGGAACGAGGATTGGAATAAATAAATAGAGGTTATGAACTAGTAATTTAATATATTATGGTATCTCCTATACTGTATAAAACACATACATGTTTATATGTGTGTGTGTGTGTGTCTGTAAAATCAAGCCACCTATATAGAGATAGAGATATATAGCTATATGCTGATGCTTTATTTAAACTAAATATGAGTAATTTGTGTGATTGCATGAGCTTTGTATATGCCATATGCTCAATAAATAAATACATTACTGACACCTGATACAGCCTTTCAAGTAAGTGCAGTTCAAGATACAATAATGGCTTTCATTTCTAGAATGTCTGTATGGCGATTAATTATTAATCAACTGTGTTTTTCAATTTGATGAAAGATACAAGAAAACATCTCTATTTTCAAGCAAGGAGAAGAAAGATGAAATAGAAACCAAGACCCTCAAAGAACTAAATGCAAAAAACCAACCTCCAGAGCAGAGCCTAACGAATGGAGAAAAGGAAGAAGTGGAAGTCAAGTCTGAGCCACAAGTAAAATGTTTGGAAGCAGAAGTTTGAGGCAGAGTATCTCAATGAACAAATGCCACATGAACAAATGGAAACTAACAGTTTTTAGACATTGATAATTGTATATATTGCCAAAATGAGTATCAGGCCTATCATACAAACATTTCACACCTCATATATGCTAGCTTATACATTGTCAGTATAGGAATGATCTGCCTTACAATAACACCTATACAACTCATATTTTCAGTTTTGTTACAAGGAAGCGACAAATCCAAAACATGACCTCCAATTCAGACCTGCAACTCAAACAAACAAATAAAAATGGAATTATATTTTTGTTTATTATACAAAGGATTTCATGGAGAAACTTGAATATGTGAACTAGATTTAACAGAGAAACTGCTCCTGTATTTTTCAAATGATGGTAACTTTAAAATACGTCTTTATCGAGAGGTTATCACAGAAGTTCAAAAGCATAAAGAGTGATGGAAAAGAACAAAGGGAAAAAGGTCTGATTCACGTGCAGAAGAATCCCGCACAAATTGTTACATAGCCATAAAAAATATGTGTTTCTTAAGATTCCAGTCTCTGTGTCTCTTCCTATATTATTTCCAGAAATCTAACAAATTGCAAACTATCAATTTTAAATATGGGAAAAAGATTAAAAAAATATGATAGCAACAAAATCTATTAATTATATTTCTTTTTTCCATGCATGCTATAGTCATGTTTATTTCAAAAATATTTAACAGCCCAATTATATGCATGTTTACTTACAAATATGTTCCATTCTATTTCCCGAACTTACCATTCAAAACTACTATATAAAATATCTCTGTAAATTGATTGTTGTGGCTGTTACTATACATGCAAATACATTTATCAGGATTTAATTGAAATAAACAAAAATTCCATAATTATTTAATACTGTAAATTGATACAAAAATTGCACATTTCCAACAGCTGAATTTGTTCATAATTACTTTCCAATGATGGACAGATTCAGCTGAAAAACTATAGAAATAAATTTGATATTACCATATATGGAGAACTTCTAGAAATATACAAAACACCACATTCATGCTTTTAACTACATGCCTTGACAAATCATTTCATTTTCTACTTATATTACAAGTATATTTATTTCAAGTACTGTAAGTACAGTGGGGTTCAATAGGACTTGCTCTCTAAATTAGTGTTTTAAGATTTTAGGTTTAAAAAGCCTAAATGTTACTGCTTTAGATACACCATACTTATTGAATTGGATTTGGATATTTATAAAAAACATGAAATGTATTTATTGGCTATGCTTACCCAAGAAATTCATAGGTACATGGCCTGTAGGGGATATATTATAGGGACTGTGCTGCTAACATTCCTTTTTATGTAGCCTACCAAAAAGTTTTTATTTCTTTTACATTATTTATTAATAATGTAAATTTAAGTGAGTAGCCAGGGCTAGTAGTCAGATCTGCCTGAAAGAAAAAATGCTTATTGAAATCAATCTGCTTTAATATATTTGCTCAGAAACAATCATAGGCAGAAAATATCTGGAGCAATTAAAGAAAAATTACAGGTAGTCCTCGACTTATAATAATTCATTTAATGGCCATTCAAAGTTACAACAGCACTGAAAAAAGTAACTTATGACCATTTTGACATATGACCATTGCAGCATCCCCATGGTCACATGATCAAAATTCAGATCCATGGCAACTGGTTCATATTTATGACAGTTGCAATATCCTGTGGTTATGTGATCACCTTTTTTGGCCTTCAGACAAGCAAAGTCAATGGAGAAGCCAGATTCACTTAACAACTTCGTTACTAATGTTAGATATTAGCAACTGTTATTATGGTTTCCACCAAGGTCCTCTGTTCCAGCAGGAACAGAGGTTTAATCTCATTGGTCGAAGGGTCTGACAGCTCCCTATAAAAGGGCTGCTGTCAGACTGAATCTTTGCTGGATTGTACATACTTGTTCTGTTACAATAAAGAGCTAACAACTAACAATTGTGGTGATTTACTTAACAACTGTGACAAGAAAGATAGTAAAATAGGGCAAAACTCACTTAACAAATATCTCACTTAACAACAGAAATTTTGGGCTTAATTGTGGTAATATGTGGAGGACTACCTGTATTGGTTCAGGTAAATAATTCTTCATGCCATATTAAAATAATTAGCGTGAATAATCAATGGTAAGATTCAAGTTTTTGTGCCAGGAAAGGAACACATTTATGGGCCAAGTGGAAATGAATTAAAAGCTTTCTATGAGAAAAGGCCAGAAAAGAATGTTTATTGTTCTGCCTAGCTGTTTCAGTTCTGTCAATAAAACCTATATCTTGAATTGGATCCATGATTGTGATGGATAGGATGATATAATCTTTGTACAAAATCATAGGAAATCAAAACTGTGTTTCTTGCACCACGGATATACCAAAAGCTGTCAGATCAGCCAGACTGATGAAAAAATGTGATTTTAGGTGAATCCTGTATAAAATCTAAGGATCAGATCTAATATCAAAACCTTTGGATCCATGAGAGCTCACTGCTAATACAGAAGGGGCATATGATTTAATGTTGGTTTATAAGGACTTCTTTAAAAAAATCATGCAAAAGCAAGGTGATCTGAGTTTTAGAGGCACTTTTGTGGCATTCATTTGTTGGTGTAAAAACGCTCAGATCAAGGTTATGGTTGATGCATGTAGACAGACTGGAAATTATTTGACAGTGGCACACTTGGATCCTATAAAATGATGAGGCTTCCAAGAATCCGAAATTAATCTTTTGCCTGCTTTTCGCACCACATTGTCTCCAATAAGCGTGTATTGTAGGATTGTATTGGCGCTCATTGTATGCAATGACCCAAAGGTGCTTTTTCAAGAGGCAACTGGAGTTGTTTTTCTTTGAAGAAATTTCGCTTCTCATCCCAGAAGCTTTTTCAACTCTGGATGAGAAACGAAACGTCTTCAAACACATACACACAAGCACATACACGAAAGTCCACTTTCCTCTTTGAAAAAGCACCTTTGTGACACACACAACGTTTGGGACAACCATGACCCGCATGACTGAGAATCTCCATAGACATCTAGGCAATGACAATCCTTTCAAGGAATCCTCCCGGAAGATCACGAACGATCAATAGTCCGACTCTTAACTCCCCTCCCCCCAACACACACTTATATTTTGAAAACGTTTTGCAGGTTTGTTAAAAAAAAAAAAAAAGCACCAAATGGTGACGAACCATTCTCGGTAAGTCACTCTCGAAAACCTCACAGCAGTTCGGCTGTTTTCGACGTCCTGGCAAGGAAAATCGGGAAGCAAAGCTTCAAGACGTCAGCTGAGCGCGACGGGACCCACCCTGGCCCTTTAATGTCCTGACGTCATGCACTCTACTGGGCAGGCGGAGCGGGTAGGTAGATTCGGCGGCCGAAGTGGGGGGAGCGGGGAGGCGGAGCCATTGCTGGCGGTCGGAGGCTGTCGCTGCGAGTTCGGAGCAGGATGTTGGAGCGTCAGCGGTGAGGCTACCTTGAAGAGTTTGGCTTGTTACGGGCCTTGAACTCGGGAGGAGGAGAAGGGGCGGGGATGGTGGTGTCTCTTCCTTTGAGACTAGAGCTCGACAACAACAAAAGGAAAAACGGGACTGGGGGGCGGAGGCGGTCGTGGCGTGACCCATAACGAAGTGGTTGCGTAAAATGTTGACATGTTATAATGGACATTTTAATGAAGGTTGTATTAGGGTTTAGCATGTCCCCCCCACCCTTCTCCCATTTCCTTCGATATGTAAAAACTGGCACTTTTAGCAACTGCATTGAACTGCTGAAATGTAGGAGATACAACGTATTTTAAAGGTGTCCGCCTTTTCTCACGCCCATCGCGTGTATTGTAACCCTATCTAATGGCTCCATAGCAATCAGGTGGATCTTGCTAGGGACTCTTCTACTAATTTCAGAGGAATAAATATAAATATAAATATTCGATACAAATATAAAATATTTGACTATAAATCTCTCTTTGTGGTTGCTTAGAGTTGACATGAACTTGATGATAGATAATCACAGCTGTACCTTGAGTGATTGGGGATGTACTCACAGTTTGGAGGAAACCGCTTTAATAGGCAGTCCAGCATCCCCTGTGTTTCTGAGTCTTTTTCTGTAAAAGTTTCATGATGGAAATGAATGATGGAACTTTGTACTTGATAACTACAGAGAAATTATCATATACGCATAACGAAGGAAAGATTTGGCATTAAGATTTTTTAAATATTTTGATGAGTAGACAGGATAGATTATAGAATGAGGACAATTATGTTATAACTATAAAATAACTTTTATAAGTTAGTAAATAAGTATACTTACAGCGATTATATTTTTGTAATCCTGGAAAGTAGAAATTAAAAGACCCCCCCTTAATAAAGGCTTCTTTTTTGGGGGGGCGATGCCTGAAGTACTTGTAATAAGAGGGGTTTACTTTGCAAGAAAATTGGGTGTTTCTCTCTCTCTCAAATTCAGGGACTTGGTTTCTTTCCAGCTGCAGGCTCTAAACTCAAGGTGCTTGAGTTTTAGGGACAACAGACCAAGTTCCCCACATGGAGGTTTGGGACTTGTTGTTTTTTGCTATGATTAAGCTCAAGAGGACCAGCCTTCCCTGTGTGTTGCTTTGCTGTTAGCTCTTCTGAGCGAGCTAGTCAAGTATAATGGAGTTTCTTGAGTTTTGTGGATAGAGAAGCACTTTTTCTGAGTAGTTCAGGACTATCCAGGACTAGTGCTGATGATGTTACCTAGTGTTGGTAATGAAACATCTGCAGGAAACAACCCAGCTCAGAGAGCATCAAGGACTGCTTAGTTCAGCAGCCTCTGCAGGAATCAATTCATTTACAGTTGTTAATCCAATGTTTGTAATGCCCCAAGGGACTTTGATAGATAACCTATCATTTCTTGATGACTCAGCAGGTGGCAGCACCTGACCCACCTTGTGTAAACCCAAAAGCTCCACTAGAGCTAGACTGGATTGGGTTAAGATTGGGGCCTGTAGGTTTGTTTAACCAAAGAGTTGGAAAACCTGTCTCAGAAATAAGGAGTGGAAAACTTATGTTTTAGTGCAGTTACATCAGCAGCTGAGCAGAACTTGAAGGCGACTATATTACCCATACAGCAACATCAGTGTTGGTTTAGAGGAGGGGGTGTCAAACTTGATTTCATTGAGGGCCGCATCAGAGTTGTGTTTGAGCTTGGGAGGGGGGGGCAAGGCTGGTCGTGGCCAGCTTGACAACACTTGTGTTGGGGGCACCTGCAAAAGGGGAAACATTTCTCCTTTCGTTTTTATTTTGCTTTTAGTTTGTTCTACTAGCCCTCTGCCAGCAAAAATGGAGCTCGGGAGGATGTGTGGATGCTTCTAAAACATAGGTAGAGGTAGTTCCCAACTTACAGCAGTTCATTTAGTGACTGCTTGAAGTTGCAGCGGCGCTGAAAACAGTGTCTTATGACCATTTTCACACTTTTGACCATGGCAGCATCCCGTAGTGACGCAGTTTACATTCATATGTTTGACAACTGACTCACATTTATGAGGGGTTGTAGTGTTGAGGAGTCATTTTGCGACCTTCTGACAAGCAAAGTCAATGGAGAACCCAGATTCACTTAACAACCATGTTACTAATTTAAGAATGGCAGTGATTCACTTAGCAAATGTGGCAAGAAAAGTCATAAAATGCAACAAATTGACTTAACAAATTTTCACTTAACAACATAAATGTTGGGCTCAATTGTGGTCGCATGTTGAGGAGTAACCATACTTGAAGAGAATTTAAAAATTAGTGTCTCCTTTTCCAGTAAGAGAGTTTGGATTCAAGTAACCAATTTTGGGTACAATAATAACTGGAATACAGGTAGTCCTCAGTTTACATCCACAATTAGTCCAAAATTTCTGTTAGTAAGCTAAACCTTTGTGAATTTTGCCCCATTTTACTATCTTTCTTGCCACAGTTGTTAAAAGAGTAACAAAGTTAAGTGAATCTAATTTCCTCATTGACTTTTCTTGTGTGAAGGTCACAAAAGGCATTCACATGACTCCAGGACACAGCAGCCGTCATAAATATGAATCAGTTGCCAACCATCCAAATTTTGATCATGTGACCATGAGAATGCTGTAATGGTCATAAGTGTGAAAATGGTCATAAATCACTTTTTCCAGTGGTGTTATAACTGAATTATCACTAAATGAACTGTTGCAAGTTGAGGATTTCCTATATCTCAATTTTGGGAGATAACTCTGCAAAATGATGGCCTATTAAAACAGGTTGCTGTAATTCTGAAAATTGCTTCTACTAAACAATACAGTTATAATTTAAATTACATTTCAAACTGCAAAATTTAGGAATTTTTTAATGTTTATGTTCAAATGTTCATTTTAGAAATTAATGCTTTCAATTTTCAAGCCTTGATTTATTTACTCTTGGGAAGTTCCACGCAACCCTCTGAGCAACAGAGTTATTTTATAACAGGCATTACATTTCCCTGACTTTAATATTATTTTTTAAATCTTTCATAATTGTGATAATGTATCTTATATATTGTTTTTAAATTAATGTCTATTAATAGACAGTTTTACAATTTTTCTTTGTTTGGTTTTTTAAGATTTAAGATAATTACTTTGTAATATACTCAGAAAACTCCAACTATTGGATAGATTAAAATATATTTAGTAGAATGTAGACTGGCAAATTAGAGCATAAAATAAATTACAGTCTTTAAATTATAGCTCTTTCTGCACCATAAGTATAATTTTAGAGTTTTTTTGCATGTCTAATATGTTCTTCTCCTTAACTAAACTAAATTTTGCTGTGTACTGTTATTTTCTGCATGGTTTCACCTGAATGAATGTTATTCTCTCTCCATTTAAAAAGTACTTCAGTCTTCAGAGTTTTAAACATAAACTTCAATTGTCAGTCATCATATTTTGTATTTTAGGAGTTACTAAAATAGGAGTTACTGCATTTTTAATAAAAATGTCAATTCACAGGACGTTAATTTCCATATTGAGGATATGCTTGACTTAGGTGTCAATAGAATTGGATTTAATCTGACTTCATATCTGGTTAGCTCTATATAAAGCTAACCAGCTTTATAAAGCTACTCCAGCTGTATAGCTGCAATTTATGCATTGTGAATTGAATGCAATGATGATTATTTATTCTAATACAGTGTTTTAAAATATATTTATTAGAAATTCTCCAAATGTGGAAAGCAGTATTTCATCTTGGGACCTGATCTAAAGCAGTCTATCATGGGACAGCAACTCTCAAGCCAAACACAGACAGTTATAAATAAGCTGCCAGAAAAAGTTGCCAAGCATGTCTCTCTTGTTCGAGAAAGTGGTTTCTTGACATATGAAGAATTTTTGGGAAGAGTGGCTGAACTTAATGATACGTGAGACTTTTTTTTTCTTTATACATGGAATAGTTTAAGTATTAAACAGGAACCTGCTTAAGGCATTTGAGAATGAATTATTAGCAAAATATACTGTATATGGCTGCTTAATTTCTAATAAAAATGGGACAGTTGCATTACATGGTGTGACATAATATTTAGTTTCTCGGGATGTGTTCAGTCATATCCTAAACCGCAACAAATCTTTGCGATCAGGACTTTATCAGATGTATATTGTAATATTTTTTTTCAAATTGAAACGAGTAGATATGAGAGAAGCTTATTTCCCTTATTAAAGGCACCATAATAAATTACATAAGAGCAATAAAAATAAATCTAGTACTCGTTCATTGAAACTTAACAATGGCAGTTAAACAAATCAATGCAAACCTCCTAAACCATGGCTTAATATTGAACTACTTGGAAAATACTTTACTCTCTTTGTAATTATCACTTTATTAAAATGTGTCCTAAAATTGAATCTCATGACTGCATTTTCCAATTATGATTTAGGAGGAAAATAAACACCCTAAAAATACTGTAGTTGCAAACATAATAATGTTGCTTTATACTGAGTCAGATAATTGATATACCTAACTCAGCAATTATCTATGATGATTAGTAATGTCTCTCCAGCGTATCTGACATTTTCTTTATCTGGTTATGAAGGAATTAAGCCTGAGATCTTTTATGTGTAAATCATATACCAATCACTTATGTACATTTCTTAAAATCAGAAGTTGCATGAAAACACATGCTTTATATAAACACACATTTGTGTAAAATACAAGTTTTCCAGCATTTTGGTTGGAATCATAACACATAATTATTTTAAAGTTATCCTCCTGCAGAACCACAAATGAAGATGAACCAGAGAAAGAATACTTATATTCCCAGGAAGCCAATTCAAAGAAGGATGAATGTTTGTGTTATAAGCACTGGGCTGGAAATGACTTCCTTGATTTGTTCTCCTACCAATCCTCTGGAAACAGTCTTCCAGGATCAAAGGCTTTTAGATGAATGGTGTTGGCTCTTAGCAAGATTCTTCCAAACTAGATAAAGATGATATTAACAAGTCTTTTCATGAAAGCAGCTTGGGAAGTGGGAAAACCAATTTCCACCAAACCTATTCCACACCTTATTTGGATCCAATGCTATGTTTGAAAATATATTTGCTTGCAATTTGCATTCTCTTGTGCTACATGTATAGAATGTTAAATAAATGTTAAATATTTCCAGAACTGCACACTTAGCTTCTGGCCAGAGCAAGCACCTGTTATTTGAAGTGCAGCCAGGGTCTGATGCTACAGCTTTATGGAAGGTGGCTGTTCGGATAGTTTGCACTAAAGTAAGTTCATCAGAATCTTAAATCATCTAATTCATAGCAACATATAATGCATACTAAGGATAAATTTTGTGAATGTTCCTAGTTAATTAGAAAAAATGCCACATTTTCATAACTTATTAAAACTATGTAGTTTGCTCTGTTTATAATGATTTGCTTGTCATAATTGTACTAATGTGCCATTATTAATGTGCCATTTGCCATTCTGAACATTATAAAGGCATTTATAGCATCTCATAATGTCAAATTTCTGAGTTTTGGGAACTCTTGAATTACACTTCTCTAAAAATAAAATTAGAATAAATGGTGAGATATTCAAGAAAAATGATAATGCTGCTCTCTGTGTTATAGATAAACAAGACAAATGGGATGGTGGAAGCTTCAAGAATCATGAACTTGTATCAGTTCATTCAACTTTATAAAGATATTACAAATCAGGCATCACAGGTTCTTTTACAGAATGCTCCCTCAGAAGAAACAGCAGAAGATCTGTCATCTGTTGACTCTTGTCAGGCTAGCCTTTGGATGGGAAGGTATTTGAAATACTCTAAAAATGTTTGAATCTGTCTAGTTTCTTGCTCCAGCAATGAGTTTTGTAAACTTGATTCAATTTAGGTAAAGGTTGCCATTTATTATAAAAATGTGCAGTGCTTAGTTATTTAGTCTACGTTTTTTCCTACTAAAATATATATGTCAACTTTTCTGAAAAAGAGGTATCCTCTTGCAGAGAGGCATCCTCTTCATCATTTAAGTGATGAAGATTGATTTTGAAAAAGAAGTAATTTACCATTCATATTAATTTTCCTCATTCTGGAAAATTTGAGATTATTCAGAGAGCTGAAAGAACATTAAATTACTTCTGTGCTAGAAAACTATTGGAAATAGGCACTTAAATAATGGGAATAGCTATTTGCCATTATATACAACAATCTGTGGTGTGTGTGTGTGTGTAAAAAAAGTCTGTTCATGCACAAGAGTATACAATCCTTAGTAATTGTGTACATGTTGAAGAATCAAATAACAAACTTTTCTTATTCGTCTACAATTATTATTTTTAAACACTTTTTAACATTTTTAATGTGTGTCATAAGTTTAGTTTATAGAACACCAATTTTTATATATAATAATGGTCTCCTTCCTCCTTTCTTAGCACAAAACCCATATAGTTTCTTGCAAGTTGAATGTGACATTGTTTTAGTGATGAACTAGGGGTTAGAAGATTAAAATTATTCATAATAAAATATTTAACAAGATACATGATTTAATATGTATACTACATACACAATTACAGTTCTGGAAATCTTTGATTGTGAATAAATAATATATTTGCACTGTAGGGTGAAACAGCTTACTGATGAGGAAGAATGTTGCATTTGTATGGATGGACGTGCTGATCTGATCTTGCCATGTGCCCACAGCTTTTGTCAGAAATGCATTGATAAATGGTAAGTCGCGTAGTTAAATCTCACAAACAAATTATACCACGTTTAATGAAGAAAGGAAATGAACTTTTTTACATGCTTGCATATTTGAGTAATTATATGTTTATAATATGCTTATATACATGTTGCTCAGAAACCTTACTTCAAGAGACATGCCAGCACAAAGTAAATAAATTAATATTAGTTAATATTCTTTTAATTTAAACCCCTGTAAGAAGACAGTCTTGCTTTTGTATTTATGTGTGCGTGCGCATGCAAACACACACACACAGACACACACACACACACTTTTTTCTCAGAAACACAGAAGCTCATTTACATTCACACATATGGCTCTCCTTTCCAGCAAAACCAGCAAAAATAAAATGAAACAAAACTAAAGGGAGGCTTGATGATGGGATAGAGTAATGGAGAGAGAAGCAAGCGGTGGGAGCGGGGCAAAGTTGGATGGAGACATCAGACAAAGGAAAAAGGCATCTGACTATGGAAGGGGAAAAATAAGTACAGTGGTACCTCTGTACTCATTGCTAATTGGGTCCAGGAGGCACAGTGAGTACCAAAAACATTGAGTACCAAACAGATTTTTCCCATAATGAATAATGTAATGAATCACAAGGTGGCCAACACCAACAAGCTCTAGCTTTTGCATTGAGTAGTAAACAAACAATGAGTACTAGGACAACATTTTCATATCAAAATGCATTGAGTACCAAATTTGATGAGTTTTAAAGCAGTTGAATACCAAGGTACCACTGTAATTATTTTCCTCATATATTTTCCTCATACAGTTGTCCACAATGAAATAGGGGGTAGTGGAAGCTGGAATCAAGAATAGAGGAGGCCATCCTTGAGCATTTTTCAGAGTTCTAGCTCTCAGTGAGCTAAAAGTAGGTCCCTTTTCCAGTACCACCTCTACTTCAAAGATAACAATGTAGGAGAAAGAACTTGTCTTTTTTTTTTTTAATAAAACCAGTGCCAATATTTTAGGTAATGATTCCTTATTTGAGAAATTATATACTTCTTTTAATTAAGAAATGGTGCTTCTTGGCTAGCGCTGCTAATTTGAACAAATCTTCTATGCTTGTGTGGCACAAAGCTAAATCAGTTTGACGCTATTCAAAGCTAAATTTTAACAAATAGTCACCGTGTAGTAAGTTACGTAATCTGGCTTTGCTTTATATTTCAGAAGTAAAATTGTGCCTTTTTAAAATAACAAAGCATTCTGGTAGTGTACCTTGATTTCAAAGAGCTGCCAATTTTACTTAAAAGCGAATAAAATCTGAGGCATTTCAATTTTGTTGGAACAAAATGAAACTTCGAGCAGTTATTAAGCAAGAACTACCAATACCTTGTTTTCCGCTGCTTTTAAGATAGTCACGTGTAAAACTAAAGAAGTTTGAGCAGTGGGGTAGACATTCTCAGCAGAAGAATTCAGCCTAGTTATATTTCAATTTCTCTGCTCCATTTATTTCTTAAGCTATATGTGTTGTGGAAGGAAATTAATTAAAAATGTTTCTGTATGTTTGTTCATTGTGCAAAGCATTTCATGACAAACTGATGTTGAACAGCTTACACAATAAACTATAAAATACATAAACCAAAAATCAACAATCCATCCACATGTCACATTAAGTCAAAATTACTGAACTAAACAACTGTTTTGCACAGAGGTAGAATAACTTGCACACATCAGTGCTTCCCAGATTGGAAAATTGTTTGGAAGATAGTTGAGGATCTAAATGGGTTCTCTAAATATTTTGCCTCTTAATACAGTCCCCAACCTCATAAAAAAGCCAAAACAGATCTGAAAATTTCAGCCATCATGCCATTCTGTGATACTAATAGGGTGTGCTGTATCCTCAGCCAAGTGATAGTGAATGCAGTCAGTATTTTTGATAGAGCAACCAATTACTTTAAATTATAAACATTTGGGATAATGTAAATTTTTCCAATTAAAAAACCAACAGATTGTTTTTCTTTGAAGGTTTGAGATCTCATTGCCTGGTGGCTTTCAAAAAGAGGTCTGCACAATCTATGTTGGTGATATTTTCACTGTTATTTTTAGCTTGGTCTCATAGATAAAACTCATCTTTTAGCCTTTTGTCCAAGATTCTATTATATCTTACCATTAGAGCAAAAGTAGTCATGTGCATTGTCAGTACAAAATCTGAAAAGCAGTGACGGTTTCTTCTGACTTCCTTTGCAGGCGTGGTCATCACAGGAATTGCCCTGTATGCCGCCTACAAGTGACCGCTGCAAATGATTCTTGGGTTGTATCTGATGCACCTACGAAGGAAGATATTGCCTCTTACATACTCAACTTGGTGGACGAGGCAGGCCAGCCCCATATACCCTGATGTTAGTCTTAACATTCAGTCTTAACATCTCACAAGATATCGTTCTCATTATTTTTCATTTCTTTATTCATTACATTGGTTTCTAGAAGCTAAATCATTATTTTTTAAAAAGGACTAGTTCTGGGAAAGCATATTTTGTAATAATTACTTTCCTGAATTACTCTGATAACATTTACAGTCAATACACTATGAATTTTCTGATATTTTATGAGGTACCTGCAGTAGGAAATATTTTAGTTCTAGTAAAGCTGTTAAGTGTTTGTTAAAACTTCATTGTCTCAGTTGAAGAATGGGGATGATTCGCAAGTCCTGTTGTCCAACACTGTCTAAAAACAATGTTCTAATATTTAATGGGAATTAAAATGGTAGTTTCTGTTCTGTTCTGCGTTTGATTAAATAAGAAACATTCCTTTTATGGAATCTTTTATGAAAGCAGATTTTTAAAAAATAAATGATTGACTTTTTCATTTCTACTCAAAGTTAATTTTCTAAATCAGTATTTATTACTTCAAGTTTGTCTATGCAGTATCATGGATGGATCCAACGAAGTTTCTCCCAGTAATTTCTCTATCAGTAGAAGGCTTCTAATGTAGCAGACAGCAAACTTTATTCTCTTTCTCCCATCTCTTCATTTCCTACATGTCTTGAACTGGGTTAGACTCTCCAAAACAGTGAATCTCTGAAACATAGTGCGGATAGTAAAAAAATATATTCTATATTCTGTTCTGTTTCTTCGCAAATGCTTCATCTTAATTACATGTTAATTACAAAATCTGGCTGAAATGTGTTCGTTATTTGTTTTGTTTTATATAGCCTTCTATTTACCAGTTTGTAAAATGTGCTTTGCTATGAAATGAGACGGTAAAGCACATAGATTCTTATTTTCTTTTCTTGTATGTGCAATATGAAGCAAAAAAAGGAATCTATCTTTTTGTGTGTGATCACTTTGTTTTAACGTAGTATGCATGTTGTAATCAAGTATTGGTGTGAGGTATGACAAATGTATCCTGAGTTGTTACTTTACCAGGTGACATTAATAGATGCCAGAAATCTACCATTTTCCAATCCACAAAATTGGTGCCGAGTGAGTTTTACAAAATTATTTCAAATGGCAGCTTAAAATGGTCCTACACCCCCCACCAATTAAGTCCCTAGGCCAATGTTGGCAAACCTTTTTTGGAAGTACATGCGCTGGAGGAGCGCCAGAAACCGGAAGAGCAGCTCCCCAACGTGCACACGACAGAAACCAGAAAAGCAGTTCCCCAGCGCACATGCATGTGCCAGGAAGCTGAGCTTCTGGTCACCTGGTCATCCCGTTTCTGGCACTCACAAAGACCAGGTAGCTGGCATGCATGGAAACCAGGAGAGCAATGGGCAAAGGCTGGCGTGCCCGGTGAGATGGCTCTGTGTGCCACTTTCAGCACACATGCCATAGGTTCACCATTATGGCCCTAGGCAGAATCAGTCAACACAAATCCCCAAATTGATGTGGTACTGATTTTGGATTTTATATTTTAAACAAATGCTATTATTATAATTATTCATGGAATAGATTTGGTACCACCCAAGGAAAGATGAGTTAATAGTTAAATATCATGAAGGGTTTATGGCCTTATTTGGAATGGCCTGGTAAATATGTATAATAAAATTGTTTTCTATTGTTGCTGAAATGTTGCACATAAATATAGGTTACACTAATTAAATTGTAAACTTAGACTAGTAGCTAAACGATTTCTATAAATCACATCCAAGTATTGAACCTTACCACTTCAGAATATGGCAAGCATGTTTTTTGAGAGATTATCAAATTCTGCTTAAATTAGTAAAATTGAGTAATTAGTGTTTTTCCTCTTTTTTTAATATGATGTGCTAAAATGAAGATTCAAAGAGCAACTCTTATTGGTTAATTAAGAAAGTTTGATATAGAGAATTTCAGATATTGCAAGTATTATTTCTGAGACTTGATTTTAAGTGGCCTTTAAAATTCAGAACATAAACAAAATGTTTTCTTGTTTTTGTTTTGATGTGTTTGTCACTTGTTATAAAACTGATCATGGATTTGATTTTCCCCTAGATATACTTGGACTTGCAGTGCTGCAATTGAAGTGCCCAATATTTTATACTGACATGGTAGAAACAATAAGTCATTCTTTTTTTCTTTTTCATATAAGGTTTGATTGATAGCACAAATATTTGAAGTGTAAGCTGTAGGTCATTAAATCCTGATATTGCTTTTATTTTTTTTTCCTGTCATGAGTATAAGAATTGTACTCCAAATCTTGAGATGGAAGGTTTAAAATATGGGTATGCAGTCCACAGGGGGGGCATGAAATTATAGGTTCAGTAACTTGTAAATACATGTAAAGTGAAAATGTGAATTACATAGTGTTTCTATCTTTTTAAATATACAATTAGTACAAGCGTTATATATATAGATATATTGATCCACAGTAAATATATAACACACACACACACGGTGTTTTACATATTATGGATCATTTGCTGTCTTCCTTTTCTGTTTCCCTTGTGTTGTGAAGCTATGCTTCTTACTAAAGGACTTTTAGTCTAGTTTGAAGACTATAGGAGAAGCTATAACACCTAAAGACATGGAAGAAGAGATTACTACAAGTTGTTTACCCATGCCTTTTGACACATACACTACCCTAATAAGCATATGGCAAACTTGAAGCCTATCACAAGTAATAAGTGTGTTACATTGTGTAAAACTGCAGCACAGTTGTGTTATTCTTCTAGCATTGAACCTGATAAAAATCGACAAACTTAAAAAAGGTTTTTAAAAGACATGTTCAAGAGATGAATTACTGTGAAGATGCATTCCTTAGTTCTTTTGTGTGGATGTGAACTTTTCTTAGTGGTTTTATATAAGACTGTTAATAACTATAAGCAATTTAATGTATTATGAGTTTGGAGCAATAAACATTTGAATTATTTGTCTTTTGTGTAATACTCAATGAGATACCTTCTCTTAGGCATTTGAATTCAAGAGTGTATACATCCAAAATAATTTCAAGAAAGTACTTATGATTTTATAGATTCCTAGCCAGAGATGTGCAAATCATTTTGACCTTATATTCAGTTTGTTTTGCGCTTGAAACAAAACGTGTTTTGTTTCAAGAGACTAGTTTCTATATTGAGTGCTGTTCTGGGGTTCTATTGGGCCTGTTTTTGGGCTTATGACAGAATTCCCTTCCTCTCCCAACATTTTACCACCTAGTTTTTCTAGCAGCAGGGACTGGTCTTCCTCTTGCTATTGGTTACTGGATGATTGGAAATGGAAAATTGAGAGGAAAGCAGTAGCTAGCTACATGGCTAACCAGAAAAATACTACTCACACTGTGTTTCTTGTATTGTATTGCATTGCATTGCATTGCATTGCATTGTGTTGTTTTTTTAATCATACACATACATACATAGCTACATAGAATTTGTGGGTTAGTGAGCTTCATACTCTGGAAGTTTTTAAGATGTTGGATAACCATTTGTCTGAAGTGGTGTAGGGCTTCCTGCCTAAGCAGGGAGTTGGGCTAGAAGACCTCCAAGGCCCCATACAACTCTATACTTGTTTTTCTATACTTGTAACACAGTAATATGTATGGCAGTAATAATCAGCCAAAATTGACTTCATTTAGGGTTATAGAAAAGGACAAACATCAATGAATATATTTATAAATGTTTAACATTTCCATTTATTAAGCTTCTTCATGCTACACATATCTCTGAATATTTTAGACAACAAAATACATAGTGTACATGTGTAACTCAAACCATTTATCTTGTTTAAGCTGGACTTAATTCCCATAATCCCTCTTAAACTAGCAAGAATTTCTTTGAATGCTAATCAGGTCATGTTAGCATTCTAGCATCCAAAAGTTCCATGTAGAAACAATACAATTATTTTAATTATATAAAATAATTAGTGCAAGTAAACAAAATTGACAGCTAAACTTTCACCCATAGAGTCTAAGCCATCAAAAAAGCATAATAGGTAATTCCCTTCAAGAAAATATCTGGCCTTCAGTGATAATTCAAGGAAGGTGGTACCATAATTAAGGAATAAAGCTTACCAAAATATTTCAAGAACTCGCAATAATAGTGCAATTTTAAACCCTTGTAAATTCAGTAGAATTTACTTTAAGGCTCATTAATCTCATACATCTCAATAAGAATGGTAGAAACCATATCTGGTTTTGATGTTGTTAAAATCACTTGGTGCTCACTAGAATTTGCAAATAAGCTATTTCCAAATATGCAGGAGTTCCTACTGAGCGTAACATCTCAACTTATTGAACCAGTTATGTCTTTTCCACTTGTGTTATTCATAATTGCTCTTAGCTGTCTACATAAATATGCATACACAGAACTGATTTATTTGAATCAGCTGTGCAGATAAACAAATGAAGAACTCTTGAACAGCTTCCAAAGCGATTGTCCATGCCCAGAGCAGATACTGGAGAATTTGCCAGCAGTAGGGCTGGTCATACTGAAAACACAGGATTTCTGTGTAGTTAGGACTAGCCATTCCTGTTGTACAAGCATTACAATTGCATAATACTTTGCCATAGTGAGTGTGCTTTAAACTGCTTTTTATTAAAGCAGTGTGGTTTTTTAAATTTTGTAAAGTTTTAAAACAAAAACAATGTGGAATCCAAGGTTTCCTTTTTTTGAAAAACCTACTCTCTTTGCTTCACCAACTCCAGCTAATTTGTGAGACGGAAAAAAAAGTAACCAGCGATTGCAATTAATACATTTATAAACAATTTTCAATTTAATGTGAATAATGGTATAAAAGGAAAACTCAGAAGTACTGAAGAAAACTAAAACTTTCAGATGTGTTCTTTCTTTAATTATATAATGGAGATTTTCTAGTACCAAAATAGATCACTTTTCAAGTGAAATGAAATTTAGATTATCTGTCAAGCATTGATAAACTAGGCTATAAGGTCAAGTTCTGAACCTGAATTGTTATTAGCCAACAAAGATAAAGATGTAATTTGTCCTGGTCATCTTTGGTCAAAGCTGAAAGTATCTATTCATCTGCTACAGTATCCCAGAATAGAATGCCAAGTTCCAAATACAGGAGCTGCCTTTATAATTATTTTGTGGAAAGATTCCTGTGCCCCTGCTTCTGTGAACAAATTGCATTTATTGGATTGGGAGAGCTAAATTTGGACAGATGTGAAGTAAACCTGGATAGGATAGTCATTCTTCTGGATAGAAAAAAATGAAAATAACTTTGCACTTATGAAATTGAAATATCTTTCCAACCAATTTGCATTAAAACATGTACAACTTTTTTTCACAATACAGTAATACTTAAATTAGAAAAAGTGTAAGTGCAGGGAGATAAATTTGTTACTCCTCCCTTTTTGCCTAAGAAGTTCAGAATTTGTGACAAATTTTACTTTCTATCTTCCCTTTTTAGAATTATTAATTTACTGTATTTCAAAAGGCTAACAGGTAACTACCACCAATAACAGTAATTAAATATAACTGCTTTCCAGAACTCAAAACTTGCTTCTAATAGTTCATTTTCAAGTCTGAATATTCAAAATAAACTCCATATAAAATTTTTAACACTACCTACAGCAGTTGATAAATCATTAAATTCTAGTTCCCACACTTTTACATCATAGTAATGAAGTAGCAACGAAATCTACTCCTTACATTACATGGCATATTAAGCTATCAAACATCTTATTTTTAGTGCATTTAATACAAACTACAAAATGCAAGTTAAATCTATGCATGTCAGCTTTCTGTTCTATCAGCTTCATTCACACCTCACATTATACCAAATTATGATTGGTTTGGTTTTGGTTAACAAGATTAATTAATCTTGCTGATGTAAATATAAACCATGCTTTAAAACTTAGTGCTTTATGTCAAAGTCACTGGCTTATTCAACAAACAATTTTTAGAACAAACCTGTTTAATTTAAAAAAAAGTAAATTTAGCCAATGTTGATAATCCAATGTGAATGAATGCATATTAGCAAGTAAATATACTTCCTAATACATAGATAAGAAAGTTATTAATCTTCTATATCAAAAGAATTAAGGTGTGGAATAAGTCTCAATGGTGAATAAAGTGGAATGTTGATATGAATATGTTGAAAAAGCTCCACTGTATCATGTAGCAAATCCTGGTGGATATATCAACATCTGATTTGCATTTTTCAGGTATCTGGCTTATACCTGGATGCCTCAGGAAGTTACCATATCGAATTACACTTCAATTAAAGGGCCCATCTGGAAAAGCCAAGTATTTGTATGTCCACTAAACATCTATGAGTGATGTGCTGATCTTTGGTTATATTAGATTTTAGTTTCTAAATCCAGGATAGTCTTTGTTAACTAACGGACACTACAGTACTGTGTACAATCAGAACCTGAAATCTAAACAGAAGTTAATGTTTAAAGTGCCATCAATCCAATATGAGAAAAATTGTGAGAAAACTGGTCCGTGTGTGCTACTAAAAGCTGCTGTCCTGTCTCCCTTTTTTCAAAGCAGAATGTTATGTATCTTGAGATGCAAACCTATAATGAATAGAGTTAGAATGTACTTTTAAATGTATAAACAACATAGCTAGAAGCCTGCATCTTGCATCTACAACAGTCCTATTTAAGGTAAGCACTTGCAGAAACTGGTTTTGCAGCAATTCTGGTGTCACCTAAGAATTCAGGTGATCAGATGACTTTCTGTCCTGCAAAAGCTCACATTCTCTCTTTTCTTCAGACTTGTTGGTTGTGGCTATTTTGACAGTGCTGTAATCTCTTCTGTCTTCATCGCATCAGACAGAAAGCTCAGTTCATTGCATAAAGTCTCATATCTGTAAGCCATTCGAATTTGTGCAACATTTGTCTTTCTAATATCATTTCCTTCTGGCCCTTCAGCACAGTAATTTAGACCTATGCATTTCTGTTTTTCCTAGAGAAACAGAGAAAAGAAGATACTATTTGCAACTTCATGTAGCAGCTTCTAACAGGCATGATTTTATTCTGCAGCAATACACTAAAAAATTAACTAGAGATCAGTGAAACTCTACCTTCCCCAAACTATGCCTTCAAATATATTGGACCAAAACTCCCCAAATTTCCAGATAGCCTTTGATGAAGCCGGATGGGAATTCTGAGTGGGCTAACAGATCTGAAATGCAGTAAATTGGACAAGTCTGATAGAAATCAAGGACACGTTAAGCCTATATGTAAACAACGGCATCTACAGGAAGTGTGAAAAAAGTCTAGATGGCAATCATGACTATGGGACTTTTCTACTTCCTCCCCTCCCACAATGCCCCATCTGTAAATTCATGTCAACTTTTCTGTTTCATACAGCAGCAAAAGTGAATCAATGCTGTAAACAAAGCTCAAGGGATCAGAATTTAATCACTTCTATCCCACATATTCATCAAAATTATGCAGCCTAGTTATTTGTCCTTTGAGGAAAAACACCATTACAGAAAAATGTCATTAGCTAAAATGTTCCTATTATGTGCGATGATAAGGGCCTCTGGTGGCTTTATAAATAAAAATAAAATATATTAAATGCACCACCTAGTTTGTCCCATACATCTTCAAATTTCTGGTGCTTACAGAAACCAAGTAAATTTACCTTGTGTGACAAGCCACTTTGTAGTACACTGTTTCTTGCAATTTCACATAAGTCACAAGTACTCAGTTTCCATACTTGGGCTGCTATGGCATATTCCTCCATCAGTGCTTCCTTCAATTATACATACAAAAATATATGATTTGCTATCAAATACATTCATTTATTTTGCACCAATAGCTTGAAATCAAAGGGACCATTTCTAGTAAAAGGAAACTAATTTTGCAGAGCTCTTCTATTTTCTTCTTCCCTTGCTGTATTCTATGATCCCTGAACACTTTCTCTAGGGCAGGGGCGTCAAACTGACAGGCCACGCCCATCC